CATTGGACCACTAATGTTGATTTTCACTAAGTCTTGGAACACTGGGGAAATTCCAAAAGACAGGAAAAAAAACGAATGTTGCACCTATATTGTGAAGGGTAAATGGGATACTTGGTAATTATAGGCTTGTCAGTCTGACATCGATCCGGGGCAAGATAATGGAGTGGCTGATATGGGACTCGATTAATAGAGTAAAGGAGGGTAATAGAACTGGTGCCAATCAACATTGTTTTATATGAAGTGGGTCTTGTCAAACTAACTTGGTATTTTTTTAATGATATTACAAGTTCAGTTGATAAAAGTAACCATGGTGATGTAATATACTTAGACTTCTGCAAGGCGTTTGACTGGGTACTGTGCAACATTTTTATTAAAAAATTACAACAAACACCAAATTAACGTGGTGCATGTTAAATAGTTTAAAAATTGGCTAGCTGATAGCTCTCAAAATGCAATTGTAAATGGGAAATCATCATCGAGTGGGTTTACTTCTAGTGGGATCCCACAGGGATCAGTTCTTGGCCCTGCACTATTTAAAATTTTTATCAGTGACCTGGAAGAAAACATAAAATCACCACTGCTAAAGGTTGCAGATGACACAAAAATTGAGAGTGGTAAATATTTCAGAGGACAGGTCACTGATACAGAGCGATCTGGATTGCCTGGTAAGCTCTATGTAAGCAAACTACACATTTGAATATGGCTAACTGTAAATGCATCCATCTAGAGTGAAAGAACATAGACCGTACTTACATGATGGAGGTGAAAGAGTGACTGAAAGAGACTTGGGGGTCACGTTGGACAAATCAGCGGTACATGAGCTCCCAGTGAGACACTGTGGCCAAAAGGGCTAATGCAATCCTTGGATGCTTAAACAGGGGAACTCCAAGTAGAAGCGGAGAGCTTATCTTACCTCTGTTGGGCACTGGTGCTACTGCTGGTGGAATACTGTGTCCATTGCTGGTGTCCACAACTGAAGGATGTTGGTAGGTTAGAGGAGGTTCTGAGAAGAGCCCAGGGAATGCAGGGGGCTTAAATGATTAGAAAAGATACCTTCCAGTGGTAGATTCAAGGAGGTAAGGGGTGACTTGGTTACAGTCTGCAAGTATCTACATGGGGTATAGATGTTTAATGATAGGCTCTTTAATCTAGCAGAGACAGGTATAATACGATCCAATGGCTGGAAGCTGAAGCTAGACAAATTCAGAATGGAAATAAAGCACACATTTTTAACAGTGAGAATAATTAACCACTGGAACTATTTACCAAGGGTTGTGCTGGATTCTCCATCACTGGCAATTTTCAAATCAACATTGGATTTTTTTTTAAAGAGATGCTCAAGTTCAAGAGGAATTATTTTGGGGAAGTTCTATGGCCTGTATTACACAGGAAGCGAAACTAGATGATCCCAGTGGTCCATTCCAGCCTTGCACTCTAGGAATGTGTTTTTACTTGGAGTGAAATGGTTAACGGAAAGGGACAGTTTCTCTCCCACCTCTCCCTGTAACAGCCGGCATTGACAACCCTCACCAATGGTGCTGGAACACTTTTTATAGTGGGGGTGCAGAGAGTCAGCTAACTGTAAAGCAATGGTCCCCAAACTTTTTACCTCATGCCCCCCTTTACCCTGTCTGTGCCCCAGGCCCCCAGAGCTGGGGCCAGGAGTGGGGCCATGGCTCCGGGAGGGGAGCATGCAAATAGGGGCAAGGGGGCTGAGGCTGGGGCCACAGCTGGGGGCAGCATGGGGCCAGTGGCCAGTGGCCAGAAGTGGAGCCCCGGGCAGGGGGCCAGCAGCTGGGCGTGGAGCCCTGGGCGGGGCCAGGAGCAGAGCCCTGGGGGTGCTTCAGCACTCCCCGCACCTCTAATTCCTGCCCCTATGACCAGCACCCTTTAAATTGCTAATGCTTACTACCACTAGACTTCCAGTGCTATTGGAAATAGCTTCCAAAATTAACAGGTGCCATTTATTTAAAAAATACATAGTTTAAAAAATGAAAAGGAGTACTTGTGGCACCTTAGAGACTAACCAATTTATTTGAGCATGAGCTTTCGTGAGCTACAGCTCACTTCATCAGATGTATACCGTGGAAACTGCAGCAGACTTTATATACACACAGAGAATATGAAACAATACCTCCTCCCACCCCACTGTCCTGCTGGTAATAGCTTATCTAAAGTGATCAACAGGTGGGCCATTTCCAGCACAAATCCAGGTTTTCTCACCCTCCACCCCCCCACACAAATTCACTCTCCTGCTGGTGCTAGCCCATCCAAAGTGACAACTCTTTACATAATCAAGTCGGGCTATTTCCTGCATAGATCCAGGTTTTCTCACATCCCCCCCCACCCCCACACACACACAAACTCACTCTCCTGTTGGTAATAGCTCATCTAAACTGACCACTCTCCAAGTTTAAATCCAAGTTAAACCAGAACAAACATAACTAATCATTCTCAGAAGGTACACGGAATAGCTTTCTGAATAAAGACCTAATGCTGCTAACAAGTTCTCTATTAGGAAAGATATTATTTCCACAAACAAAGGTGTGGGTATTTGACTAAGTTGCTATGTAAACAGAGTCTTAATCCTCATTTGACTTTAACACTGGGTGGAATGAAAGAAAACTGAAATATCACATGACTCGCTAGGATATTTTTAGAACTGTAATGACTTGTCCAGAGCTGTCAGCTAATGAACTAGCACCTTGAACAGATACAGCCTTGTTATTGACAAAAGTGAAAGCATTCATTATAAGCTGCGCAAGCCATGCTCCGAGGTGGGCAAGTATTGTACTTATTTTTTAACAGCAAGGAGATTGAGGCACAGAGAGGGTAAGCGATCTGAATTGTCTAACGTCACACATGTTGCTGGCAAAGCTGGAAATAGCCAACAGCATCAGTACTGGCAGGTTCTATTAGAGCATTGTCACCAGTAATGAACCCAACAACGTCTCCATAAAGCCATCTGGTGAGATTCATAATACTCCAGATATAAGAACTGATGGAACTGGGGAGAGTCTGGGTAGGTTTAAGGCCAGCATAGTCTGTTATGATAATCTAATATGACTTCCTGCATAATATGGCTCCAGAGAATTTCTTGCCTGCAACCATAATCAGCAAGTCAGGTTTCTCATGTAGGCTTTTTTATATATATAAAAGCTATTAGAGACAGTGAGTGAGAGAAAGAAAGTAGCATGCTGGCTCCTTGTAGCCATAAACAAGCTCACAAGACAAATTCCACACCAAAACAAATATTTCATTTTGACTCAAGTTCTAAAAGGACCAAAATTGCCTTTCAGAAATGACTCCCCCTCAACCCCTCCCACACCTTCTTTGGGCTTCAATCACAGATTCAGAAGTTAGAGATGGGAGACCCATTAGGTCATCATTCTGCCCGTGCAGGATTTATTTTCACCATTATATTGTTCAGGTTAGTTTTAAGAATCACAAGCAATGGCATTTCTACTACATCCCTCAAGCTAGCCTGTTAGACTTTACTTTTAAGATGGAAACTAGGCTTACCCAGTTCTTCATGCACAATCAAGTCCACATTCAGAAAAAACGTCAGGATATGATCAGCAATAAACACTTCTACAAAAGCAGTTGAGAGTACACCCAACATTGTAATGCAATGATGGATCATATCTCGATTGACTATGCACAAGCTGTTCAAATGTATGGGAACTGCATACTACCCTGAAGGCTCTCCAAGGGAAACAAAGCTCTAAGGATGTGTGAGGAGAACTGATTATTCAAATATCTATCCCAGTGCAGCCTATAAAGATCCATAAGCAAAGTTGATACTTATGGCCCCGCATACCCTTTACACAGGCCAGAGGAGAGCAGAGGCAGCTCAGTGCTTGTCTTCACATTTAAGAGCCTTCAAGCCTCTCTGTGTTGTATGGAGTGAGCATATAGCAAGAAGCAGGATAGCTTCCTAATAGCATGTCCTCACTCACTCTTTCTTGTTCCCATGGATCCTCTGGTTCTGTGAGAGCTGGAAGTTTGTGCTGTTCTGTTCCTGCTCCTGTGGCAAAGAGGAGGACGTGGCAGGGAAGAGGTTCAGAAGAGGCTGTGCCATTGTGATATTTGGTACCCTCTGATGTGCATTTTTAGATGCAGGAAAAGGAGCAAATGGCTGACTTAAGTGTAAAATCAGAGAGATGTACACAGAATGGCCACTCCAAAAACACTCAGATGATTATATCTTTGCATAGGCCCTGAACAATTCTGAGAGTAGCTTTATGCTACATTAGGACTAGCCATGTGCGTAAAGTTAAGCATGTATATAAATTGGAGCCTTCTATATTACGGCAACAGACACCTTAGACATACAGCGCAGCGAAATGATTAACTGAAGTTATTTCATAGACTTAAGCTTCAAACTCCGCAATCCAAGTGTTCCTTTAAGAATAGCTGAGTAGCAATGACTTTCCCTGCTAAAATAGTGCTTTTTGCTAGTTGAAAGATCACAGTGGAAATCCATTTTTTTAATGTTCTCAGACTAGAGAATTTAGTTAACAATTTATTAATTGAACAACTAAATTGCTGCAGCTCTATATAGTTCTCATTTCTGCCCATTTACCGCCCAATGAATGCAAAGACAAAGTGTTCTGAAACATTTCTTATAGTTTAGAGGGAACAATTTAAATACTAAAAAATACAAACTGAAACAAGAGTGTCTTAAATGTAAAATTAAGACATTTTCAAGATCATCTGCCCACCTGAGTTTTACACCTGCTACTTCCTCATTTTATGATAGTAACTTTGGAGAGGGGGCAAAATCAAAGTCGTATTTTCAATGCCCACTCCCTCATCTGTAACACAAGCGGTCCAGAAAGAGCAGAGAACTATTTAATAAAATTCTTGTGTCGAAAAATAAAGTCTGACTTTCAGCAGTGCGACTCTCAGAGAATTCCATACATTCCCAGCAACTGGCAGTTTTCACTCTCTTTGTTTACCTGTGTTGGATATGAGACCAAGTACACTACGGGACATACCATGAGCAGCTGCAACAACAGCACCAGCAAAAGCAACATGTGTTGTTGGGCCTTTGGTTTCCAGGTGCTTGAGACACGGCAGATGTTCCTTCATTTTGTGACTGCTGCCTTTTTCTCATTTCAGCTACTTCAGTACCCAAGCGGCTACAAGAACACAGACATAAGAGATTTATAGAATTACTACAGACAAACATGAAGTACAATCACATTTTCTACATTAATTGTATTAAGTCTCTCAAAAACTTTTGGCAATGAAGACAAATACCCATCATCTGTGCTGCCTAAGTAGTACAATACAAACATTTTGCTAAACCACTATATTCCAGGGACATGCTTATGCTGCAGTACTTTAGGGTTGCACCTGTTCTTGTCACTTTGAGTAGAATAAGAGGCTGCTTGTTAGCCTTACAATCACTAGCACGCACCTCACCAATTGTATAGCACTTTGTTAGCCCTTAAAATATCAACAATGATATGACTATTCAACTGGTTTTTGTGTTTTTTCCATCGCTCTAAAATTATTGCAAGATGGTAATTCACTTAAACCATGAGCCTGGCTTTGATCTTTGTTATTCCAGTGTAAGCTAGAATTAAACTGCCCTGAAGTCTGAACTGGAACATTACAACTAATGCGCTGCGTCAGTCAGGGCCAATACCTATTATTTACCATTAATTAGTCCAGATTAGCATTACCGTGGGTTTGGCTACTGGAGTTATCTGTGCATCCAAGGAAAAGTAAACATTTCAAAATCTTTCCCAGTGTTAGGCTTTTTGGCTAGGCAAGTTTTTCCTTCCCTCATCACCAGTACTTCCCAGATTTTCTTAAACCAAGCTATTTTTTCCTTCCAGTGGTTTGTACTTATTCCAGACGGAATTAATATTCCATGTATTAGCTGAACTTTTCAAACGAGGAGAATAAGAGTAAAGGGATTTTAGATTTTATTAAGGGATTTTTTTCCACTGGTGCACACAATATGACTCAGTTTGCATACACCAAAACAGCAGCAGTGAAAGTTAAATCTTAAATGGCTTCTTTCTAAAATCACTGAAGTATTTTCAGCACTACATTTCGTAACAGTAGCTAAGGGAGTCTGTGGTTATACAGCCACACTTTCCCACCTGTCATGTGACAGGGGTATTAATTACATCGAGTCAGGTTGAGAGACTGGGACTTGGAACCATTTCAGTTTTTTGCCAGAATCGATGTGCTTACAGACTCTTGTACCTTTCTTAAGTGAGTTACTCACAAGCTCCATCCCCTCTCCCAATCCCCCCCCCCCAAGCGCACAATTGTCTACACCAGCAGTTTTAAACCAGAGGTCTGGGGCTCCCTGAGGGGGCTACAAGCAGATGTCAGGGGGTCCGCCAAGCAGGACTGGCAGTAGACTCACTGGGACCCAGGGCAGAAAGCCGAAGCCCTGCCGTGCAGGGCTTAAGTCCAGGACTCTAAGTCCACCAACTGCAGCTGAAGCCGAAGCCTGAGCAGTTTAGCTTAGCTTCACGGGGGCCCCCATGGCATGGGGTCACAGGCAATTGCCCTGCTTCCTACCCCCTAACTCCGGCCCTGGCTTTTATACACAGAAAAACAGTTATTGAGGCACAGGTGGGCTGTGGAGTTTTTATCGCATGTTTGGGGGGCTCAAAAAGAAAAAGGTTGAGAACCCCTGGCCTGCACTATTATTTAATACAAGTGATTTGGACTAATACAAGGCTTGTGTTTTGCAGGGGGTCGAGAGCATGGTAGATTGACCACACTTGTGTCTTTATAGTTCCAATATAATGTGCAGGGATCTTGGTGGCACAGAGGGTTAGGGCACTATTTGCCCTCTGCAACCCCATCAAGTTCATTTTTGGTCACAGTTGATACAAGTTTGGAACCTCAACCTCATTTTACAGTATGTTTATCTGAAAATACAAAACATTGCTTTAATTTGACGTGATTGGCTGTCTGCTCTATCGGTGTTCAAGACTAGAATAGCAGAGGGTGTTGCTCCCACTGACTGAGGTGAAGTTTGCAGAGCTTACACAGCACCTGGCTCAAGTCAATGCTATCAGTCCTACACTTCTGTGAGCATGACATTCCCTCAGTTCCTATCAGGGAAAGTCTACAAGCAGTCAGCAAATCCCAAGGGTGGTGGTGCAAGCCAGACATTCATTTACTGAGCACAGTGGTGCAGGGGTGAACAGGAGTCAAGCTTTTCGTCTTTGCTTGCTTTGGCTGTTAACTACTGTATTTGCAAATATTAGACCTGATCCTATTGTCTTCTCTGACAAAACTCCCATTGATTCATTAAGTGTTTAGGCTGTAGGAGAGGGATTATCAAACTCATTCTTTGGATATATTCAGTGATTGAGCTATGGAATGTAAACAGTGACTTAGTCATATGATGGGGATGCCTTTTGTCTGATCCAGGTTATGAAAATGAAGTTTAGAATTCTAAACTCAGATCAATCTAGTGATATGATGGTTTGACTGGAACCAAATGTAAGGGAATGACAATGGAGATCCAAAATTATGCGACCTGATTTTGAACAGAGATTCTGTGATAGTGATGCAAGCTGGAATTACAAATTTTGAGTTTGCATTTTAGCTTTTGAAAGGTCTCACTCTTCCTGAGATCCCAGAGTGAAATTAGCTCTGTGCTGGGCATGAACACTGTGGATAAGGGGCAAAAGTCCATCTCCCCAACAGAAGCAGCATCTCTTCCGAGCACTACAAAGGAGATTAGATAGACTCTCCTATACCAGGCAGCACACCGTGGGCCCAATTCCCTTCTCACTGTTTTACATCTGGATATTTCCATTTGCTTCAATTTTATGACTTCCAATTTGTGAGATCAGAATCTGGCTCCATTTTACACAAGAGGTTCAGTTCACTTTCTAGGGGTTATCTAGGTACTCTGGCCCTCATCACCATAGCATCTGAGCGTCTCATAATAATCAATGGATTTTATCCTCACAGTGCCCCTGTTAGGTAGGAAAGAACTATCCCCATTTTACAGATGCAAAAGTGTGGTACAGGGTAGATTAAGTAACTGAGCAACATGTACATAAATTTTTAAAGCAGCAAAGCAAGAGAAATGTATGTATCTTTTGTGTGCAGTGAGACCCATATTAGTTTAAGATGAAATGAACAAACCCTGTAAAACTTAGTGCCGTCAACTCCATACAACTGACAATGAGCCTGACTCCAAGTCTCCTACTGACATATTTAGGACATAATTACCAAAAACTTCACTGTAATTAGCACAGAAATCCTCTAGCACTCAGAGCAATATCTTGGGAAAATCCCTCCCTCAAAACGAAGGGAATATATTAAATAACATTTGCTTCATTACACACCTTACAACTGAGAAAGCATAATGGATATTGACTGAGGAGTTCAAACCCCAAATGGTTCATGCTAGAGGATGAAGAGAAGATCCTTCACAACCCCTTTCACATTCCTGTCCCCCACCATCTCACATGGGGTTTTCACTTAAGTTCTTAAATCTCTTTCCCAGAAATCCCCAAGATACAGCATTCTTCACTCTCCTGCCTTTTGGACATTGCACCAGACCCAGGCCACATCAACTCAGTTGCTCTCTTGGCTCCTCTCCTCCGATGCATCAAGATCAAGCTTCTTGTCCGTGCTTCAAAGCCACACAGAACAGCCCCTCCTCGTATCTGAGCTGTTTTTTTTTACATTGTCTCATCCCCCATCAATTGTTTTGATACCCCATTTACCTGCATCTCCTATAAGTGTCCCTGCACTTTCTTCCACACTTTCCCTTACATTGGAAAGTCCTTCCTGATTTGCAAACTTCCCCCCCTTCCCCAACCCTCACACCTCATTTAAGTCTGTCCTCCATCACCCTACGGCTGCAACATCTACAAGAAGTTAACCAAGACATCCATTTAGTCAAATAAAATCCACCCTCTTTATTCCATCATGCAGTGAAATAGTCCTTGTTTGAGGCAGTGTTTGAGGGAGGTTTAGGTTGGACAGAGGAAAAACTTCCTAACTGTCAGGGTGGTTAAGCACTGGAAAAAATTGCCTAGGGATGCTGTAGAATCTCCATCATTGAAGGTTTTTAAGAACAGGTTAGACAAACACCTGTCAGGAATGGTCTAGATAATACTCAGTCCTGCCATGAGTGTAGGGGAATGGACTTGATGACCTCTCGAGGTCCCTTCCAGTCCTATGATTCTATAATTTTAGTGATGTTGCCCCAACCTTCCCTACCCCATTGTGTCTTGTTTCTCTCTCATTATTGTCTAATTTACCAGAGCTCCTAAGGGCATAGATCACGGATGGAACCCCTGCTCCAGCCCCTTTACGCCTCATAAAAGGTCTAGAGAAGTATAAAGGGGCCCTGAGAGCCCTGGGGCCAGCTTGGGAAGGATTTCCCCTAACTCAGGTACTGCAGAAAACAGCTGTACAGCTGTCTCCCAAGGACCACCTTACAACTCTGGAACATGAGGCATGTAGGGGGCAGCAGGGTCATTCTGGAGCAGGGCACCAGCAAACTACACGGCAGAGATTCTGGGCTGTGCAGTGGGCTTTGGGCAGTCCCAGGGAGTTTGCCATATCTTAGATATTTCTGGTGGTCATGGGGTATCTACACTATATTGGGGGCCTCTTCAGCCCCTGGAGCAGCCCAGGATTAGGAGGGCACAAAGATATTTTAAAGTCACCTATCCCCATTCTGCCCTAGGCTGAGAATTCTGTGCTGCAGCTCTCAGAAGTGCAGCAGACACTCTCCTCTCCAATGTCTATTTTGGAGAGGCCCTTATGACATGTGGAGGAGCTGACAACCAAGTCACTTTTCTGTGGAATAGGCAGTGAATGATCCTTCTTTTGTGGTAAATTATGAGCAAAACATTGCAGCTTTCAGGATAGGATTGCCACAGAGTCAGTCTAAGTAACATGCCTTTTTCAAGATGCTGAGGGGGAAAAAAAGAATGAGACAGGTAGCAAATTAGGGATGTTCAAAGGATGTTGAGAGTGCTCAGATCTTTGCAGAGTCACATCCTTAGCCCTGAAAAATATTTTCTTTGAATGATCTGACACACCAGCTCTTCTCCACTGCTCTGCTTCCTTTAACTTTACCAATAAAGGACCAAATCTTCAGCTGATTAAGTTAACATAGCTCCACTGACTT